CTCTGCTGGCCCCTCCCTGTGGCTGCAGCAGCCCCCCTACACATGGCAGGCGGGGAGCTGCTCCAGACTGACCCGTAAACCTCACCCATTAAAGGTTAGGCTTTCCAGTTAACTGGTTAAACTTTACATCTCTAATTGGAAGACTGGGGGGAGGGAATGGATAACAGGTAAACATATTTGCCTTGGACTTGCCCTAGATTAGCTAGCATGGCAGTGGTAGAATCAGAAGTTCCACCTGGATTGTGGTAGTCCTAATTGAATAGTTTATCCGTTAGACAGGCTGCCTCTTAATTAGGCTTTGAGTATTAAAGTCATTTTACAAGCTAAATTAATTTCTAAGAATGTCCTTTTCTCAGTGTTGTAGACTATTTTCATAGACTGATGTATAGTGTTCAGCTTTCGACACCTATCAGTTGTTCGCAGCATTCCATTTCTGGGAGGGAGAGGAGGAATGGGGATGGACAAGTCAGGTAATACATGGGCTACAAAAGTGCTGGGAAGGGAAGGGGGGGTGAAGGAGCAGGTAAGTAAATGCAGGATTTTAGTGCCCTGGTGTGCAAGGTGCTCATAAGGGACAGGGGGCAGACAGGAGGGCTGCAGGTTGAACCCCAGTGGTCTGCAGACTGCTGTGGCTCACTGAAGTGAAGGAGGGCCACTAATGCAGCCCACCCACCATTCCTGGTTGTCTATCCCTGGCTTACAGGGAACACTGCTCTCAGTCTGTTTCCTTGCAGCCCTTTCTGGGATTCTTCAGCTGATGTGCTTTATAGAGGTAGGTCATGTTCTCAGCTTGTAGACTGAGAGCTCTTTTAATCCAATTGTTAGAGATGGAAAAAGAAATAATTTCTATAAGTGATCAACTTGGATCCAGTCTTGATTTATACAACAGCAATTGCAAACCACAAAAATTAGGAAAAAACTCATGGGCTGTTTAGCTCTACTGTAGTATTTCGGTGTTGAGTGTTTAAGAGGGCCTAACAATAGCACTAAAATAACATCAAACTGATTGTGTTTGATCACTATATTAGGGATTCACCTACCAGACTGTGGTGGTCATGTAAAACCTGCATTGTGATCACACTATCTATTTCAGTAGGATCTTTTATACAATGTAGCCATCTGAAACCGCAAGCCTCATAACACTACCGAGAAAAATGATTTCCATTTACAAATGGGGAAGTTGAGGTACAGCAATGAAGTTAAATTTACCAGCTTTCACATGGTGTAAGGTGAAAAACCAAGAGAAGAGCTAGAATCCTGCCTGCTAATCTCTGTTCTAACTGCTAAACAATACTTTCTCCCCCCCAAAAGGTATCCTGCTTCTTTCAAAGAACTATATTTTTCAATTGTCTTAAATCCTGGTTTGGTGGACAGGCCTGCATTTCTTCTCCTTTGGCATGCTGAGGCAAGTGTCTGGGCCGAGGATGGCAGCGTTAGATGGCAATGAATGCCACATCTGTCTTCCAAAGCAAAAATCAGTGCAAGTGCAATTTCAGTTAAGAGAGAATTAACAGAAAAATCCAAGAAGCAAGCAAACAGAAGGATCTTTCAAAAATAAATCTACATGTTAACTTGACAGTCTGGTCTGGTTTATGTAATTTTCTTGAGTCCTAGTTCTACCCTACTCCTCAGCTCTACTTCCCATTTGTTTGTTTCATTCACCTGTTATGTCATGCCATAACGATGTCCCCAATCCTCCAAGCTGCTCAATATAGGCAGAACCCCCTGGCATTCATTGGAGCCTCTGGACTGCTGACGGGGCCTGCCTGGACAGAACAGCTTGTAGGATTCAGGCTTTATATTGTTAACTTTTTGGGGCAAGGACTGTTTTCTTGTGAGTCTGCTTTAGACTGCTGCTTTAGACAGGAACTTTCTTTTTATTCTGTGTGTGCATAGCACAGCAGAGTACTGATCGCTGGTTTAGACTTCTATGCAGTTGGGTAGTACAATTAATGGTAGTATAGTAAATCACTTTGTCGTGCTCTAGCAGTACTGCAGTACAAAGAATGATAATAGAGTTTAAAAACCTATGATTTGAGTTGGGTTTTTTGGTGTTAACAGTAGTTTTCTCCCACAGAGCTGCAGAGTGGCAGCTGGATCAGCCGGCATGGAGTGGCAGGCTGCGAATAACCTCCAAGGGGAAGATAGCTTTCATTAAACTGGAGGATAAGAATTCAGGTAAAGGGAAATCCATGCAGCATCTGTATGCTTTAGAGCTAGGGCTCTGCCCCCCCTCCCCCCATTTCCTTCAGAAAGGGGCTCCCACCTAAGGCAGGCCTGTCCAGTGCTTTTATCAGGAATGATGTTAAAGTGAAATGTCCAGTACTGGAACCTGAAAGATCCCAGATCAGTGTTTCTTAAACATTTTAATACCAAGGAACACCAAACAATTTTTTTATGCAGAACACTAAGGATTTTTTAGTTGAGCAAAAAAAAAAGAAGGTCGGGGGAAAGTTATTGAGGGAAAGAAAAAAAGGTCGGGGGGAAGTTGTTGAGCAAAAAAAGAAAAAGGTTGCCTAACGGTTTAAGGATGGCCATTTTGACCTCTGTTCTCCACGGCACACCTCTGACTGCCTTGTGGCACAGTTTAAGAAACACTGTCCCAGATACATGGTTACTATAATTGGAAATTGGTCCTAGGATGTTTTTACAAACTGCCCTGCAGGTGCTAGAGAACTTCTGCAGTTTAGTTAAGTGAGTAGAAAAAACATTATTTTTTCTCCTTCAGATGTGGAAATGTTGCAAGATACTGCTAAAACCAAGTACAGGCAGTCCCCGAGTTACGCGGATCTGACTTATGTTGGATCTGCACTTACGAACGGGGTTTTTCTCGCCATGGAGGATGGGAGCAGCGGGACGCCCAGATGCGCCGCGGTCCCGCTGCCCGCGTCCTCTGGGGCGAGAAAAGCTGCTCTGCGTCTCCCTGGTCGGCTGGGGGGGGGCGCTAGCTTTGTGTCTCTCTGGTCTGCTGGGGGGGAAGCAGCTAGTACGGGGTTGCCTCACCCCGTTTGTAAGTAGGGATCCGATGTAAGTCGGATCCGTGTAACCCGGGGACTGCCTGTACTGAGGTTAAAAAACAAACAAACCTCACACGCTGAAAACCAGCTTCTGCAAGAAAAATACTTGTGTGTCTTTTCCTCCCTCCATGTGATTCCCGTTGCTAACCAAGGACGCCTTGCCATCTCTCCTCCAGGCATCAAGTAGCCAACTTGCCTGGTAGGATTTCAAAGTGTTTCCTTTTTCTGATCCAATTATCGGAAGTAACTGCTTCTCTTAAAGCACCACTGACTGAAAGCACGCACAGCAGCTGACTTGGGGACGCTTGGGGTTCTTAAGTTGAATCTGTATGTAAGTCAGAACTGCTGGTCAGTTTCAGCAGCGGCTGAATCTGGATGCCAGTTCCGACTTACATACAGATTCAACTTAAGAACAAACCTACAGTCCCTATCTTGTACGTAACCCGGGGACTGCCTGTAGACTGCCTGCTGTGTTGCCTTCTTCTTTTCCATGTAACTTTTTGGGGTGCTCCTACTTGCTGTGGAGCTTTATTTTGCTGTGAGCTTTGGTCAGTTTCAGCAGCGGCTGAATCTGGATGCCAGTTCCGACTTACATACAGATTCAACTTAAGAACAAACCTACAGTCCCTATCTTGTACGTAACCCGGGGACTGCCTGTAGACTGCCTGCTGTGTTGCCTTCTTCTTTTCCATGTAACTTTTTGGGGTGCTCCTACTTGCTGTGGAGCTTTATTTTGCTGTGAGCTTTTATGCTCCTTAATCTTGTGCAGTGCTTGGATAACCGTGCAAGGGGTGACTGTGAGAGAAACTCCCTTTGGTAACAGGATTGAAGCTGCCTACTCCCTCATGTGGCAGAATGATTTCATTTGGGTGCTGAAAAGTGCTTTGAAAGCCAATAAAGAGGCTGGAAAAAAGGAAGCTTTACAGCTATCTGCCGTGTGAAATGAGCTCACAATCTCAGAAAAAGGCTGCAGGTCAACAATTGGGAAGACTCATCTGGCTGTAGCCAGGAAAGTGCCCTGAAAAGAACTCACCATCTATAGCTCTAGATCAGTATTTTCTTCCTTCCCAGAGGGGAGCTGCTAGCCTTTTGGATGGTGGATGGTACATCAGAATTTTAGCTATAGTTATGGCTGCTTATTGTAATTCTCCCATCTCCCCAGGCAGGATTCTTCATCTCTGCAGACTTCACAATGGGTGGTGGGAACTCTATGTTGCTGCCTCTGGAGCCTCATTGTTCTCCCCAAACTAAGTTCAGGTCAGAGAGCGGTTGTCACTGCCACAAATCAGAGGTCTGCCCCTTTCTCCCATTTGCCTGGCCTCACTGTTGCTGCAGCATCCTTCGTCATTCTTTCTCCCAGGATTTGTGTGGTGGTGCGTGACCATAGTACATTTCTTGAGGTTAGCCCTGTTAAGTGCATTTGTTCTGGGTCCGTAGCTGTGCTAGAAAAGTCTTGATAGCCAAGAGCCTGGATGGATCTCAGTGTGAAAGAGGAAATGTGGTCTAGTTGTTAGAACCTAGAATGAGAGGCCTTTAGATCTGGGTTTTGTCTTAGCTCTGCGTCCTGTGCAACATACCTATTTCTCCATCTCTCAAATACCTAATTCCCATCCTGGGAATAAAACCTTCCACCCAGGTCAGGGTTAATTCATGAATTTGTGTATAGAGCTATCTCTGTATGGAATGTATCCTGATGAAGAATGGGAGAGCACTGGGTTATTGAACTATTATGTGGTTCCTGCTCTTGTTTATAGGAGAACTTTTTGCCCAGGCACCTGTGGACCAGTTTCCCAGTATCGCTGTCGAAGGCGTGACAGATTCCAGCAGATATTTTGTCATCCGGATTGAAGATGAAAGTGGTATGAGCACTGTTCAGATCACTTTTCTCCTGGATATAGAGGTATATGTGTCTTAGTGGAAACCAGCTATTCCCCAGTCCATGTGAAGAGTTCTTTATTTGAAAAGAATAAATATGCATTACATCTAAATAAAAGTTCTGACAGCATCAGAATGTCCCACTTCCACATTGCTGGTACCAAACACTTTAATTTTTCATTTAGAAATGGCTTTTGATTTAGAATTTTTAAAAAAATTCTAAATCAAAAGCAATTTCTAAACGAAAAATGAATTATATATAATTAGGGTTGTTGAGCGATTTTTTTTATCACATGATTAATCATGAATAATTTTTTAATCACACCTTTAAACAATAATAAAATGCCAGTGATTTAAATATTGAATGGTTTCTACATTTTCAGAAATATTTGTTTGTTACATCACAATGTAAAGTGTATAACGCTCACTATTTTTATTACAAATACAGCCGGTCCCCAACTTACGAACGGGTGATGTTCCAAACACCTGGTTGTAACTCAATTTGTTCGTGAGTCGGAAATACATGCTTTTACTTAGTCGCGCTGTTCATAAGTGCGGATGGTGCATTCGTAAGTCAGGGACTGACGTTAATGGGAGGTTGGTCGTAAGTCTGGATGGTCGTAAGTCGATGTGTTTTTAAGTCGGGGACTGGCTGTATTTGCACTATAAATAGTTTTTTCAGTTCACCTAATGCAAGTACTGTAGTGCAATCTATTTATTGTGATAGCTGAGTTCACACACATGTTGAATTAAGTACAAAAACTGTACTAAAAAATAATGTAAAACTTCAGAGTCTATCAGTCCACTCTGTCTTACTACTTGTTCAGCCAGTAGATCAGACCAACAAGTTGGCTTATATTACAGGCGACGATGCTGCCTGCTTTTTGTTTAGAGTCACCTGAAACTGAGAACATATGTTTGCATTCCATTGTTTTAGCAATCATCACAAGAGATTTATATGACAGATGTGCTAAAGATACCTACATTGCTTCATGCATCAATGACCATTCCAAGGGAGCGTGTCCATGCTGATGACAGGTTTTGCTTGGCAATGATCCAAAGCATGGCGGTTATGTTAATTTTCATCGTCTGAGTTAGATGCAAGCAGAAGGTTGATTTTCTTTCTTGGTGGTTTGGATTCTATAGTTTCTGCATAGGTGTTTTACTCTCCTATGATTTCTGAAAGCATGCTCCACATCTTGTCCTATTATGTTCTGCATGGCTCTTCAAATTTGTAGACCTTAGGTCAAGTGCTGTAGCTGTCATTGCATTTTGTCAAATCTGCAGTGAAGGTGTTCTCAAAATGAACAACATATGTTGGGTCATCATCTGAGATATATGGCAGAATGTGGGTAAAACAGAGCAGGCGACATGCAGTTCTCCCCTAAGGAGTTGAGTCACAAATGTAATTAATGCATTTTTTTAACAAGTGTCATCAGCATGGAAGTGTGTCCTCTAGAATGGTGGCCAAAGCATGAAGTGGCATATGAATGTTTAGCATATCTGGCACGTAAATGCCTTGCAATAGCATGTAAATTCCTGTTCTCATTTTCAGGTGGCGTTTTAAATAAGAAACGGGCAGCATTATCTCTTATAAATTTAAAGAAACTTGCTTGTCTTAGTAATTTGCTGAAGAAGTAGGATTGGGTGCAGTAGTAGGTCTAAAATGTTACAGTGTTTTGGTTTTGAGTGCAGTTACATAACCTTGCAACTTACTATTATAGATCCCCCACCCCCAATGAAGAGATTTGTGTGAGGTGAATTGAAAAATATTTTTTATTTTACTGTACAAATACTTGTAATAAAAATGAGCCAAATACACATTGTAGTCTGTTTTGTAATTGAAAACAATATATAAAATATAGAAAAAACATCCAAAATATTTAATAAAGTTCATTTGTATTGTTTAACAGTGTGATTAATATATTAAATTGCTATTAATGTTTTGAGTTAATCGCAAGAGTTAACCACTCTCTACAGAATACAAATCTAAATTGAAGTAGTTTTGATCAACCCAAAACATTTTTTGTTAGAACTTTCCTTTTCAGAGAATTTCAGACATTTATGCAGTTGGATCTAATTCAAAACAAAACCAAATTTCAAAAGGCTTTGTGAAATGAAGTTTCCATCCTCCCCACAGCTCTAGTCTGCACCCTGAATTTGTTTCGATTTAATTTATTACTTAAACCAGCTCTATGCTCTGCAAACTAAAACTGGTTATGTCAATTTATTTTATGCATATAAATTTACCAATAGTAGCTAATTTGATATAAGGCCAATATAAGAGTTCCCACACCTATGCTGGTTTAATGAAATCTCTTTAAAACTGCACTTTTAATTAAACGGGGACAACTTTTGTGCAGATCAGGCATAAGTCCAGTTTCCAATAGAAAGTGATACCACAGTACAAGTATTCTTGATTTGCAGTCTTAGCAGAGGGGTCAAAGCTAAAATAGGCCACAGGTCATGGGTGCGAAGAAGTGGAAGAACATAGGGAAATAAGTACTGGTGCTGGCTATACAGGATCATTTCTGTGGATAAACAAAAGATCTCCATCTCCAGTAGGAACGTTAAATTGTGATTAATCAGTTAATCGAGTTGTCGATGGAATTTCCATCGATGACTCGATTAGTCGATAAGGGGGACGCTTGCTATCCCTGTTATGGATGTGTCTTGCCACATTTCAAAAGCAGAGGCGCAGCTTCTGGTACCGGGCGTGAACTGGGACTGCTGATTCCTGGCTCGCACCCGATCTCTCCCTGCACCTCTGCCTTTCAAATGCAGTAAGAGCTCTGCAGTTTCCCCCCTTATTGACTACTCGAGTAGTCGATGGAATGCTGATTACTTGCAGTTTAACATCCATGCCTGGTGTCTTGCCACATTTCAAAAGCAGAGGCGCAGCTTCTGGTACCGGGCGTGAACTGGGACTGCTGATTCCTGGCTCGCACCCGATCTCTCCCTGCACCTCTGCCTTTCAAATGCAGTAAGAGCTCTGCAGTTTCCCCCCTTATTGACTACTCGAGTAGTCGATGGAATGCTGATTACTTGCAGTTTAACATCCATGCCTGGTCCCTTGCTGAGCCACTGCCCCTTCTGCCTCCCCCAAGTTATCCTGTGTCCTGCCCCCAGAAGGCATGA